GGTCGTTAAGGAAATCCATTTTTCTTGCTTTGAGTAAAACAATTGAAATGCTTACATTGTTTTTCTTTGTGGCAACCACAAAGAGGATTTTTGGGAAAAAAATCATTCCTTTCACTTCACCATGCATAGGAAATGGAACAAAATTTGTTTGATCTCATGATTCATCTAGAACTCCAAATGTGTTGTAAAACTTATTCAAAACTATTTGTGAACATTTTATTATCTTAGAATGAAGTTCAACCATCTTAATTTACTAACTAAATTTTATTTGTTCAGTGTGAAAATTCCAATTAACACATTAATTTCATTTATTGAGAAGTATAGATAAGGCTTTAAACTTAGAGCAGTCCTTTTAAATGGATAACAAATTCAAGATTAGGAGGGTTTCATTGAAAATTTCAACTTTTGTTGAAAAACATTGTGGAATAGAATTCCAACCAAAGAGAAGTTGCTAAAAAGAGGGTTGTTAAGGGACTTTGAATACACATTACGTGTATCTTGTGGATTCTACATTAAAACCACAAACCACCTCTTATTTTGGTGTAAGCAGTCATAGATAGCTTGGGCAACATTCTATAAGTGGTGGAGGGATAAAAGTGGTTTCTCAAGTTGGAAATTGGGATAATTTATAATTTTATTGCAACATTTTACACTAGTGCTTGTTGGTATGTTGAAAGAGCCTTAGCTTGTGATATGATTTGATATAGTTTGGTCTTTTTGTTTATGTCACAATCAAAATGTGTTTGTCAATGAAAGGGAATCACAAAGCAAGATATTGGATTTAATTAAATTTTGATCTTTTTATTTGATAAGAGCAAATTTGAGACTAAATTTAACTTATAAACACTAAGTATATAAATGTCCTTGAAAGACTTTAGGACATACTGTCCTCCAATATAGCTTTGCTTTCCCTTCCATTGTTCTTCAAGTTTAGGTTTGGTTAAGTGGCTATTGATTTCAATTTTGCTACCATAATTTATTTTTATTCTTCATTCTTAATGTATAATGGGTAAAAGTACCACTTGTATTATATAAAAATAAATTTTATTTGTGTCTAATAAAGAAAACAATTTGTGCACAATAAAGAAAATAATTTGTGCACTTTCTTCATATATAGCTAATAGTAATGGTTAGTATCATGTATAATACTTATTTTATAGATTAATATATTTATATATATAAAAAAAAAAAAGAGTATAAAACTTGTCCCTAACACAAGGATAGCTAATGTTATCTTTGATTAGAGGGAAGGTGAGTGATGAATCTTTTTACCAAACATACCCTAATTAATTAAAGCATAACTTAAGACTAAGTAATTAGATGAGATTAACAACTTAATCAATACATATTTTTTTTATTGGTTATGTATATCTTTATTACTTAAAAATGTCATTGTACTATTTTTTTAAGTATTTAAATTGATTTATCTTATTTAATTTTATTTAATTTATTAATTTAATTACATCCTTTAATACTAACCAAATATTTAAATTAGAATATAAAAAAACTAAATATAAATATAAATTGAAATTGTTTTAGTAGAAATAATATTTCAAGTCCTCAAACTTTTACCATAAACAAGCTAGTAAGCTCTAAACTTAAAAAATTGGTAAATAAGCCCTTAATTTTTATGAGCATGCATGCCTTTGACATCTATTAGGCACTTATCCTTCTTAGTGCTTCCATTTGACAAACAAGTCACATAAATACTTAAAGATTTGTTTTTATTAATGAACAACTTGTGCCTGTTGCGTAGGATATTTTTTCCAAGGACATGCCAACATAGCATGCACATTAGAAAGAAGTGACACAAAGGATAAGAGGTTGACCAATAATAAAGGCATCTTTAATTACTTTGGGTTAATGTTCTACTAGTAGAGAGATAACTTATTTGACACTTTATAAAATACAAAGTGCTTTCAACTCTTAATATTTACATGAAGGACAACTACAAGGTGGTGGTGGGAGAAGAATAAATAAATATTATGAGGGCCTTTAATAGAGGATTTGATCCAAGAATATTGACCCTGTTGTTGATGATTTGTGAATGAGATCTAGTGGGAAATGAAAAACTATAAGCTAAACAATCATGAGGATGGAAACATTAACACTAGCATAATGGATTTTTATGAAGATATCATGATAACTCTTGGTAATGATGGTTGGAAGAAAATGAAAGCAAGGGTGGTTTTCTAAAGAATGATTGAACTTGGCTTGGAGTAGAATGAATTTGATGGAAAGCATAGATATGATATGGTACTTTTGTATTTTGGGGATATGGTGCTTAGTTTCTTGGCAATTTAATGGTTAGGAATTCCTAACTCATGGATAGGCATCATTATCTTTAACTACGGTGAGTCATTTAGTGGATTTTCAAATGGTACCATACTTTACTCAAGGATCTTTGGTGAAGTGTTAGGTTGGATTGTTGGTTTTAATAAGTTTTGACAAGAATAAATATTTTTAGGTCTATAAGCCTTGCTTAATTTGGTAATATTGACTATTTCAACCATCATTTCAATTATCCATAAATTTCTCTAGTTGATGGTTGGCTGTGTTTGGACAATAAAAGACCATCATTTCTCCAAGCAGCAATCAACTTTTTATCAATCAACCATGCATGGTGACTTCACTTATCCATGAAGCCTTGTAACAACAACCTAGATGGCATATTTGGCTAATCTTCCAAGAGATAGTTGGATCATTTTGGTATTCTCATTGAAATCAAATAGTTTTAGGTTTGGATCTAACTTTTACTCCAACTTTTCCACTTTTCCCATCTTGGGAAAGACAGGCAATTAATAGTTTTAGCGCCAAGCTTGACTATATCAAATATTTTACTTGGATAGAAAAGAAGACAATATTTATCCTTTCATAACTTCTAAACAATGACTCTTATAGTTTTCTTGAGGTATTCCCAAGGTCTTGGGTCCATTGGTTTATGATCGTCTGCATCATGAAGAAAGATACATGATTTTTTTTTTTTTTTTGATAAGCAAATGAATTTATTAAAAGGAGTATAAGGATACTCTAACCCTTTAAAAGAGTATAAGAAAAATGTAAGAATTAGTGATTACTAATGTGTCAAGAAGTGAAATATGAATAACAACAAAAAGACTTATACATTATAGGCTCTGAAGTCTTATGGTTTGGTTAAGGACATCATTGAGCCGTTTTATCCATTTGCCATAGAAGGCACTCACAAGAAAATTTTATCTAAAGAGGTGTTGTTGCACAGTGCAAATATTACATGAAGGAAAAATATGTTATATATTTATCTTTGTCAAGATATTGTGTTATCAATTTAAGTGCAGCTTGTTGATACTATCATGGGTAATAACACAAGCAAAGTATATGAAAGTAACAAAGGAGAAATAATAAATTTTTAGTAATGTCATTTCCATAACTTGAATATTGATAAGGGATAAGTATCTATTTTGGCATTTGTGGCTGCTAACTATATCGACTTAACTAAGTAAATCAGAAAGCTTCATTGACTTGCCTTTGCTAAAGGGACAATTGGGGCTAACTTTGTTTATGATTGTAGTTTAAGGGAATGATGTAAAGCTCTTATAAAAGAGATTTCTCCAATCCCTTCACCTTGATAATGTGCAAAAGAAATATTTTTACAAGTTCATAATAAGCTTTAACATGTAATAATATATATGTTGATGAAGATGACAGAGTTGTAACTCATAAAAGAATAATCAAAATTTTGAAGTTACTTCATCTATTTTCATTTCTTTTACTATGTTAATTTTAATCATTCTAATGATTAGGGAGAAGGGAAGAGAAATGGAATTAAGGCTATATCTAAGATTGTCTATGGTATTGTGTTGCACTAATGTAGATGTGGGTGTCATTTAATTGTATTGTTAACAAAAATATATTAATATTTAATGATTATTTTTTAAAAGTATTATATAATTGTAAAGTGATTAAATTATGCAGAACAATAATTAAAGTTAAATTAATGATTTTGTTTTAAACACTACATGATGTTTTGGCTTTTATTTTTCATTTCTTCTTATAATCTAAAAAATATATAAAATATTAATTAAAATCGATGTTAATATTTTAAGTACTTATATATTTTTGATATATTAAAAAATAAAATAAAATAAAAACCTTGCAACTACAGCCCAATTATTCTTTTCGCTTATTTGGTTTGAGGGTAAGGGAAGGGAGGGTGAAAGTTTTCCTTATTTAAATAACAAAAAATTGGAAAGAAGAGAGAGAATTTTTCTTATTTTACTTGACTTTTCTTTATATTTAAGGGCTTGTTTTGTATAGTAATTTCGAGGTCAACAATTATTAGTTTTATTTAAATTATTATAAAATTTATGTTTAAACACTCAAGAAATTGTATCTTATAATCGGAATAGTGTACTAAGTTTCTCCACAAAATGGAGAAAGATTTTATTTAAGGATATTGTTGAATGTGATACAGGGACCAAGGAGTTATGAAGAATTGAAGATTTTTAGAGATTAAATTTGGGGTACGTTTAAGAAAAATGCAATGCACAAGGAATTGTAGGAGATGACCAATAGTAGGAAGAAGTGCTTGATGAAGCTCCTAAAACTTTGTTTGGGCCTCATATGCAAACTCTTTTTGCAATCATTTTGAAAGAACATGAAGTTGCTAACAATCTTGACCTATGGTGTAAATTATGGTAACTTCTATCAAGAGTATAATGTAAGGGTAATAATGTATCTTAAAATTGTCAAATTTACAAGTATTAGATGAGAAAATTCAAAGTTATATTTTGAACATGAAAAAATGTTTAATGAGATTGGAACTTTATTAGTGGAGTTAGAATTTGTTGACTCAATGTACTCCAAGAGGGGGGCTAAATTGGAGTTCCAGAAATTCTCCCCTTTTGCAACCACAAAACCAAAATTAAAGAGAGTAGAGAAGAAAAGCTTGCACAATGAATTTATAGAGGTTTGATCCAATCACTTGAAGCCTAGTTCTCTACCTTGACTTCACTCACCAAGGATTTTCTCCACACTCTTCATTAAAAAAGACAAGGGTGACTTAAAGGAACCACTCAATCCTTTTACAAAAAGATGAGTATTTCTCTCAAACCTCACCCTTTTACAATATAAACCCCAAGAATCCTATTTATAGATCACTCTTGAAGGAATAATCACACCCCTAAGAACATACACTAATAGAACAAGAAGAGGATTACATGCAAAAATCACTCAAAGATCAAAAACTCAACTTAAAACACAAGTAGGTAGGTAAAGATATTCAATGCAATGTTTTGAAACTTGTTCCAAATCTGTTACCAACCAAATTTATAACCTCTTGCTCGAAAATAGCCATTTCTAACCATTGGGCATCATTAAATGCTCTGTAGGACGCATAGTTCGAGTTGTAGAACTGTCAGCACAACTGGCTTACACTTCTAGAGCTAGGTCTGAATAGCTAGCTTACCATTTCTGTAGCCAGCTTTGCGGGATTCTACACATTCTGTTTTTTCCGTAGAGCTAGCTGCAAAACATAAAACCAGCTTTGCGGGTTTGTTGCACATTTTGTTTTCTTGGACAGCTGGCTGTAAAACGTAAAGCCGACTTTGGTATTCCGACTTTAAAACCATTAATTAATCTTCAAATAAGTCAACCGTTGTGCATTAAATACGCCCTTACAGCCGGTTGCAAAGTTGGAGCCGACTTTACGTCTTTTCTTCGCGCGCGCCAAACAACGGGCTTCAAATTTTTGCCCGTAGAGCTGGCTACAGCTTTTAGAGCCGGTTCTCTACACTCCCACAGCCGATTGCAAACTCTTTAAGCTGGCTTTATGCACTTCCATTCACCAGAGTCGGCTGTAGGTTTCAAGAGTTGACTCTCTGCACATATTCAATCCTTTTGGTCCATTTTTAGTGCAGTCTAACTTTACTTACCTTGCAAATTTTTGACATTTTAATTACACACTTAAATAAACCAATTAGTCGTTTAAATGTGTTTTGTAATCATCAAAATCATACGTACAATAGAATTATCTCTTCTTCAAGTTAGTTTTATGAGGTGTGTGTAGGATAATGTTATTAGAGAAGAATTTGATTTTAATATAGATGAATTAGTCATTGAGCATTAGTAGTTGTATGCAAGTCTAAATGATGATTATTTGACAACATATCATGTAATTTTAGGGTCTATAGACAAAAATCAAGAAAAATTCTTTTTTTGTTTGTGGTCAAAGACGTAGAGGGAAAACTCATTTGTGGAAAGCTTAGCTTAGCAAAATTAAATCAACAAGTGATGTAGTTCTTGCTTCTTCTTCTTCTTCTTCTTTTTTGTCTTTTGGTATTGCTGCTTTATTATTTATTAAAGGAAAGACTTCGTTCATGAATTCAAATACTAATGCTTGTTTATCAAAATCCAATTTATAATATTAACTTGCAAAGCTTTCTTATAACTCTTATTCAACAGGTAAAATTTATATTATGGGATGAAGCACCCATGGACAACAAACACTATTTTGAAGTGGTTAACAAGAATTTGTAGGATTTAATATATCCGGTTTATAAAAATTCCAAAAAAAAAAAACTCATTGGAGGAAAATAGTTCTTCTATGTGGGGATTTTAAATAGATTTTATCAATTTTTAAGGGTCTAGGAAGATTAAAAATTGTGTAGGACACAATTAAGAGATTGTGTTTATGGCAAGGTTGCATTGTTTTACACCTATTGAAAAATACAAAGTAGAAGAAGTGCAAGAGATACAAATCCCCATGAGTTGTTGATTCCTAATGATTGTAATGGATTAAAAACCTTAATTGATTTTGTCTACCCTAATTTTGAAGACAAATATGGGGATCATGACTATCTCAAATAAAATGTTATTATTACTTTAATAAATTCAAATGTTAATGCTCTCAATTTAATGCTGCTAAAAAAATTAAAAAAAGAAGGTCACATTTATTTTAGTTATGATTTTATAGAGTACATAGAATGATAACTAACTCTATTATACGATAAATTATTTAAAATCTTTAAAATTTAATGGTTTGCCAATTCACTAACTAGAGTAGAAAGTGAGGACCCTAAAAATTTTAGTAAGGAATTTGACTATCATTAATTAAATTTTGGTTGAAACATAGGTTAGTATTTAGATATGCATTCTAAGAATGACTTTGTCTCCATCTAACTTAGATCGGCCTTTTTATAAGAGATAATATCCAATCCATTTGAATTATGTAATGACTATTAATAAGGGCCAATGACATATATTAAAAGGGATGGGGATATATTTCCCAAGATCAATTTTTTCTCATGGACAATTAATTTTGTAGTTTCTAGAGTTAAAAAAAAAAAAAAAATCAAGCCTTGAATTTTTAAATGTTAATATTGATTACAAATGCTCTTTTTGAACATAATTATACAAAAAATATTGTTTTCAAGAAAGTTTTAATATCTAAGATTAGTCTACTTATTATGGACCAAAGTTAGATTATCATATTATTAATTGTTGTCATTATATACTTCTCGATATTCTTATCTAATGTTTATATGAAATGGGTGCAAAATGGGTGCGAAATGGGGGTTATTGGTCTAACAACTTTACAGAACAAGATTTACAGTCTCAAAAATTTAAATTATTGATAGTGGTTGGTTTTTACACTTATACACCAATCATACTTTTACTTTGATTTTGATGTGGGTTTTGGAGCAAGAAAATAGCAACTAAAGGTCTAGTAAAACCATGATGAAATATGGTAGTAGGTACAGTGGGAATAAAGTAGAAAATAGCGCAAATTTCTACGTACTTTTAAGAGCAATTCTGGTTAGATTTCAAACTGAAACTTTCAATAGAATTTGTGCCTAGAAATTGACCACTCTGGTTGAGTGGTCAACAAATAAATTGTAGTCCTATGTCTTAGCATTCTATAGCCTTAAGAATCACTTTAATTCGACATCTATAAAGAAAGCTATGGCCAAAATACTGACTTAGGGTTGGGCTGCCCTTTAAGTCCATCAGCGGGAATCGAACTTGTAGCAAGGTTTTTACCATGAAAATAGCTTAACTGGGTTAAACATCCAACATAAAAGTTGCAGGGCTATCTCTTAGCTTTCTATAGAATGAAAAATGAACCTAATCTGATAACTATAGAAAAAGTTATGGGCAGAATACTAACACAAGGTCAGGTTGCCAAAATATCTAGCAAAAGGGATCAGATCTGGTGGCACTAAGGCAAAACCAAGGAGGAAACTATAGGAACAAATCCCAATTTGAAAACCCTAAAGGATTAGAGTTAACCTAATTCAAATCAACAATGTAAAGATGAGAAATATGGCTAATTTCTTATCCAAAAGTGCTGGAAAGTGACGGCCTCCCTGCATATTGCTAAAGAACCTGACATGGACTAGAAAATTGGGGAATAACAATAGCAAGATTTGGGTTTTTCATCATTATTTGAGAATCACAAACTCATAAATCTCTAACCCTTGCTAGGAGAAGAAAGAAAAAGGTTAACTTTCACCTGGTTCTTGGCAAAAAGAGGCTGGGCACAAGCTAGGGATTTTGGAAGCAAGGTTCTGGTGAGGAGCTGGGGAAAACACGAACAAGGCAAGAGGAGGAAAAAGGAAATCAGCTCAGCTCTTTGTCACGCCCTAGAACCCAAATCCGGGGACGTGGCAGACACTGTGTACTTGTGAGAAGATCCCACAAATGCACAAGGCTCGGAACTTATCCAATTCACAATCTGATACCATCAAAATCTGAAGATCAAATCTTATAATTTGCTCTAATATCATAAATCTCCAAATACACTCTAGCTTACAAAATCATGATTTATTTCTAAAATCTATATCAATCTCGAAATGGCTAGCTTTCTAACTCGTCACTTCCCGTGGTTTCCCCGTCCTCAGTTTCATTTCCTAAAATGGTGGACAAGGAAAAACTATGAGATACACTCAGTAAGTAAATATGGAGTGCCCCTTATTAAACTTATAGCATGCCAACATGTGCAATCACGCAAAACGGATACAGTACGGGAACGAAATAGACGTCTCCTCTATAGGTCATGGCCAGTGTATTAAACTTCCCACTGGCAGGCACACGATTTACTAGTGTATAATCCCCACTAGCAGGGTCACTTGTACGAACCGGTTCTATCACTAACATATCGACATGTGCCGACATGTGC